GTCCAAAGTAAATATTCCTCGAGCCCTTACAGGGTGCAAGACACATGACCATCCCAAAAGCATGTGTTCACTGCCCGCCACCCCCTCCCTGAATGGTCCTACTGAAGGGGAAGGCACTTTGCTGAGTATGTCTTACTGCTGGGATCTATGGCTGTTCACACTGATTGGCACCCCATCACTGACAGCAGCACCCATTCATGACTGCAGAAAGAACCGAGTGTTGCCTTGGTGACAGTCAGAGCCAGATGGAGTAGGACACTCCTGTGTGAGGTGGGCAGAGGAGGCATGAATACCGAGTAGATGAAAGCAGCCGGTTGGTTGGCAGTACCTTACCCTGCATGTGGTGCTCGGTCCTGCTCTCAGTCACTATGAATGGGACTAGCAGAGAGCCAGAGCAGAGAGAGGCAGGATCGGAGCTGTGCAAGGCATAGGGTGGGGATGCTGGAGGGCAGGGGCTGGCTCACGAAAGTAATAACAAAAGGGGATGGTAAAAAGGATGGGGGAAGGTACAAGCACAAAATCAAGATCCTCAGAACAAAATTAATCAAGGAACCAAAGGACACAAAGAGAAGAAATTATTGAATTGCTCGTATACCACTGCTAGGAGTCTGGGTAACAAACAAGAGGATTTGGAATTGCTCATTGATGTGCATAATTCAATCTAGTTGTTTTAATGAAACCTGGTGGGATGATGTGCACAATTGGAATGTTAAAATCAATGGTTATACTATATTCAGGAAGGGTCAAGTGGACAAAAGGGGAGGGGAAATGGGACTCTGTCAAAAATGGTATTACTTGTGTCTGAATCACCGATAACTCAGAAGAAAATTATCTTCAATGTTTATGGATCAATGTCCTAACAGAGCACAAGTGGGTGTCTGCTACAGACCACCATTCATGCCAGCAGACAGGATGACTGCTTCTTTACACACCTGTTTCCAATGTGTAAGGAAAAAAGCTGTGTGATCATGAGGGACTTCAATTAGAGTGACTTATGGTGGAGGGCTCATGCAGACAGTGCTAAAACATCCTTGGATTTCCTAAATACTATACATGACAATTTCCTGGGGGAATTCTTTATTAGACTTTATCCTCACAGATAAAGAGGAGTTTATCACAGAACTAAAAATTAATGGTATCTTAGGTGCAAGTAAGCTTGACTTGATCACATTTATAATGTATAAACAATAAAGCCCAGACCAGTAGTATATATACTTGGTGCTTTAGAATGTTTAAAACAAGTAACAGCCAATCAGTTGGGAGGAAGAATTTAATCAGAACAGTATAAATGATCATTATAAATTGTCTAAGAACACCTTTCCAGAAAGGCACAATCCCACAACTGAGGAAGAAGGCCATGCTAGTTAAAAAAATACCTGGTTTAGAGGGGAATTGAAGGCAGCGATAAAAATAATAATAATAATTAATAATGTAATATATAACAAATGAAAAATAGGGAAAGTTGATAGTAATTAACAAAATCTGAAACAACAAAGTATACAAAATTGATAAGGGAAGCAAAGGGACACAAGGAGAAATCTATGGCCAGCAGAGACAAGGATAATGAGTTTATTATGTATATTAATATCTAAAATAATCCTAACAATGGTACCAGTCCATTACGAGATGGAACTGGTAGAATTATCAATAATAATGGAGAAAAGGAAGAAGTGTTCAATAAACATTTCTGTTCTGTAGTTGGGAAAATCAGATGATGTAGTCATATTATATGATGATGATAACACACTTTCCATTCCACTTGTATCTCAGGGACATATTAAATGGCAGCTACAAAAGTTAGACATTTTAAAATTTAACTTGCATCTAAGAGTTTTAAAAGAGCTGGCTGGACCATTAATGTTGATTTCCAGTATGTCTTGGAACACTGGGGGAAGTTCCAGAAGACTGGAATAATGGTGATGTTGTACCACTATTTAAAAAGGGTAAATGGATGACCTAGATAATTATAGGGCTGTCAGTCTGATATCACTCCCGGACAAGATCATAGAGTGGCTGATATGGGACTCAATTAATAAAGAACTACAGGAGGGTAATGTAACTGATGCCAATCAACGTGGGTTTATGGAAAATAGATCCCGTCAAACTAACTTGATATCTTTTTTGATAGGATTACAAATTTGTCTGATAAAGGTAATAGTGTTAAAATAATACACTTCTAGACTTCTATAAGGCATTTGACATGGTACCACATGACATTTTGAATAAAAAACTAGAATAATATAATATTAACGTGGCACACATTAAATGGATTAAAATCTGGTTTACTGATAGGTCTGAAAATGCAGTTGTAAATGGGGAATCATCATCGAGCTGGTGTGTTTCCAGTGGGGTCCCGCAGGGCTCGGTTCTTGGCCCTACTCAATTTAATATTGTTACCAATTACTTGGAAGAAAACATAAAATCACCCTTGATCAAGTTTGCAGATGACATAAAAATTGGGAAGTGGTAAACAATGAAGAGGACAGGTCACTGATACTGAGCCAACCGGATTGCTGGTAATCTTTTTCAGAACCACTGCTTCCCAGGAGAGAGTCCCCCAGCCTGTAAGCATGGCCTACATTCTTTCTTCCTAGATGTATACATTTACTCGTATTAAAACACATATTGTTTGCTTGCACGCAGTTTACCAAGCAATCCAGATAGCTCTGTATCACTGACCTGTCCTCTTCATTATTTATCACCCCCCCCAATTTGTGTGTCAACTGCACACTTTGTCAGTGACCATTTTATGTTTTCTTCCACGTCACTGATAAAAATGTTAAATAGCGTAGGGCCAGTAGCTGATCCCTGAGGGACCTCACTGGAAACACACCTGCTTAATAAAGATGCTAATCCAGTGTCAGTGCTTTAGCCAAAGATATGACCTGTAGCGGCTGCAGCACATTGGACACCTTTCTGTGCCCTTTCTGCCCCCGCCCTTTCAGATGTAACCCAGCTCTGAGAGTCTTGCTTCTCCATGGAAAGAGAAGATCTAACAGCCCTAGTGTTTACCTCACATTCCCATGCATGTCTCTTTCCTGGAGGCCTCTCAGCTTTAGCGCCTGATCAGTCGGCATCACCGTGGAGTGCTGGGTTTGGAGCTATTTGAACATACAAGCCACAAAAAATAGCACAGACCGTCCTAGAGAGAAACATCTTCATTCAGCTGCTGAAAGGACTGGGACAAACTGTTCCAAATGTGCTCACTGCACAACCAGAACAGCTGAGTGGGACACTGGGGCACTCACAACTAACCAGCTACTGGGCAGAGTCTGTAGCTGGCTGGAGAGGACTAGCATGAGCACAGCATGGTACCAAGGGGTACTTTTCAAAGGTAAATTAAAGTAGAAATTTCCTCTCTCAGAAAAGCCCATTCCAGAGAGTGTCTGGGCTGCCACAAGAAACAGTGACATGGGAGACAGTTCTTCCCTATAGCAGCTGGTTAGATCAAACTGGATCCAGGCTCACACGCAGCACCCATTCAATTCCACAGCTCTTGGGAGCTGGGAAGTCAGTACGAACATAGATGAGTTTGTGTGGGAGCAAGGTTTTTAAATAAACTACTTTTACGGTATTTCTACAGTAATATCAGGAGCCAGTTACTTTCCAAATGTGATCCGGTCTCTTTTACACTTTGACTAGGGCGTGAGTCAAAACGTATGGCCAGCATGAGTGGCAGTAACAACATAACATTTTGTTTGAACTTTCCAGCATCTCCAGACCTTGGCTTAGCATTAAACACAGCTGAATGATGGGTCTCAACCGATTTCAATTGTCCTTCCAGAAGAGGATGTTAGATTAACTCACAACATCAAACTGTCCTGCTTCTACAAGCTCATTCGAACAGAACAAACACTCCCCAGGCGCGATTCGCAGTGTCTGATTACAGAAGCACAGACCGACAATGTGTTCTAGAAGAAACCGCTCGTTAATTCTTTCTCGTTACATTGAATGCAGCTGGGACAATCCTTTCCCAAAGCCAGAGAGCCGCTGTGTGAGGGGAAAGAAAAGGTATTCAGGGCTCTTGCTTGAATGAACATCCCCTGCTCGCGTAGGGGCTAAGCAGGCGCATGAACACCAGCATTCAGGTCCAAAGCCTCACCTCCCCCCCCTCTTCCCGCCACACA